GCTTCTAAGGATCTTTCATATAAATCAAAATTAGCAAGGAATTTTTTCATTTAAGCACGTACTAAATATAAAAATACAGTGACTAGTAAAACTAACAGATTGGTTAGGCGTGGCAAGCTACAGAATGCATCGGTTTCAATAACCTCGATGAGGCTGCTCGTAATGTTCCTAAATAAACCATCGAACACAAAAAAAGCAACGCGATATTTAAGTTGCTCTACCGTCTTGTGAAACAATTAAAGGAATTGTCTTAATTAGAAAGTTCCTGATTAAAAGCCTAGTTATACTGCAAGTATGACCTTACAAGCGTTCCTAAAATTATGTAGACATTTATCCTCGTAATATCTAATGGAATTAAAATAAATTTAAAATTTCAATCTTCCTACTATATCATGCATTATTATACTTATAGCTACCGCTTCGTAAGGTAACGCGTACTTCTAATAAAGTCATAAATAATTAATAATTCCTTAAATACGTATTATGTAGCTGTAATGTAACTCAGTATTGTAATTGTAGACTGTTAGCTATGTTTAGTATAATGTACGGTAGCGTAACTTCTGTATTTATCCTAAGAGATATTTGGTAGCTATAACTATAGACTGTAGTGGTAGAGACTCTATGCTAGAGTACAGATGGCTATATACAGTAAGGTGTTGAGTTACTAATAAGGCTATAGGTAAAAATAGAACTGTAAATCATATATTATGATATGGTTAATTGATTGTACTTTGGCTGGTGTGAATAATGTCTACATAAATACTGTAGTCGTATCCATATCGGATTAAGGATGGCCCGCAGTAGAATAGTGTTACTAAGAATAATTTAAATATGTGTAAAATAAGGTAAAAGGTTGCCATGCGGATTATAGCTGCGAATGCTACGAAAAGTATAAAAGCATGCAACTATAGATTATTCTGTTAGTTCGTAGTAGAAGTCTTTAGTAGTAGTATTCGGCTAGAGTAGAGCTGTGCGTAGTTAATCTTTGTATAAGATTCAATAAAGCCCTTATTTTTCTAAAATTTGGAATTTCGTGATTGGTATATATCACAGTAGCATAATAAGTTAAAATTATCCAAAAAATAAAGTACCAATTTTTAAATCTAAAATTAAGGCATATTCAGTATAAAACTGAATACCTACATCACAATTAAATTCATATAACGAACAAAACTTTTCGCTTTAATTCTTCTGATACTGGTGTTATTAATTAACCTAAGCGATAAAAATAACCGTCATTTCGAAGTTAAGTGATATAATAGATAATAAAATCATTTATCCATTAAAATCATGACTTAGATAGCGTCATAAATATTAGTAGCACGGATCTTCCTACGTGTAGATACCGCAATAGTATCGATCAATGTATACTGATATATTATTAAAATAGAAGGATTTGAGTTTGTTGACTAATTTACGACCTCGACCAAAGAGCATATTTGCATTAATCTAAAGTTTTATCAATAGTGAAGCAATTACAAGAATTGATCATATGCACATAATTTTCTGCAGGTGTATTACTAACAGTAATTTCACGATTTTAATGTCAGTATAATCGATGTTGGGGAGTTCAATTAAGTTACTGCTCGAACAACTTATAGATGAATTGCTGCAATTGCAAATGCTTGGACAACCATTATAGATTTCTGTTAGAAATAATGACTAGATCTTAATTTATGATATAAGAAATATAAATAGCACTAAAAATTTTAACATTTTAAATTGAATGCCTTACCTGCAATTCCATAATTACTTACTATTACCGGCCAAATAATAGCAACGAAGTTAACATACAGGATTGAATGCTGTAGATTGTCTTTAATTTTCATGTCTGCACAATAGGATGATAATAATTACTTTCTGTAATACAATTTAAAAACATAAATGTTAAGGATAAGATTGAATTTGAAGGTCCGGTTAATGTAGCAGAAAGTTCTCGTTCAATACGATAGTTACAAGTAAGATTAAACAATTCTATTATTTTCCTTTAACAGTATAGTTGAAGGCTGAAGCTTCTAATAATCTAAATAGCGATATCAATAATTCATTTAATGTATCATTTAATCCGTTGGACTAACGACTTGATAATAGCAATTTAAATTCATCTGAATTATTTTCGCTTATATTTTTATCAATTCAAGCTTTACTAGATGATTCCTTAGGAAAGCGTTAAAATAAGCTACTAAGATAATAGAAATAAAATATGAAATTTAAAATAAATTTCGAACATAACTAACAACATTTCTTACTGTGACATTATTTATTGGATTATTAAAGATTACCTAAATGTTCTCCTTTTAATAAAGTCAGTAATCTTGAATCTGGTTCTGCGTATTGCAAAGATTTACACTCGCGGAAGCTATCAAGAGAGATTCTAATAGAATAAAAAATTTAAATTGATTCACCTCATATATATTTTCGATATTAAATTAAATTAATTTAATTAGTAATCAGTATTGCTATTGCCAAAGAAAGAATTCGATTAGAATCATATTTAAGTATTCAATAGACTGGAAAGTGCTTCTTACCAGTATCACGAATTGTCGGGTATGATACTCGTTAAAGACTCTGTACCTAAGGGGAGACTGGTAAAGAATCTTAATCCTTTATCTGCACAGTAATAAAAGTTGTTCCTAAAATGAAAAAGTGTCTAATTGAGGAAGATAGGCCCATAATAGCCGCCTAATTAATCGTATCCAATTAGATACATCATCGAATACGCTATTGCTTGGGGAAAAGACTCGAAATCTTTTGTCTCTACTGTTATAACAATGACTTAGATGCATTATTTTGCCAAGGCTTTAAAATATTTGACAGACTGTCTTTAGATACGTAGTTTCTAACATTCGTTTCTGGAAAAATTGTTTAAATTGGAAGTTCGCTATATAATAGAATAATATTTTATCACTACACACTCATACATAGGTGTACAATATTAAAAATAAATTATAATGAACTATTTTGCAGTATAGAGTACGATTGGCAATGATTCTTCAAAGAAGTTCACAATATTCTCTGTTCTTAACATTATAAAACACTATCTTATAAGCAGCACAATAGCATTATCTTCCTTTTTATTTTATATTTCATGGTATATAATTATTGTTGGCGATTTACTTTTCAGATGATTAGGGGAAATGAAACTACTTGAGAATTTTATTGAAGAGGAAGTGAAATTATAGATTTTAATGCCCATTTTAAAACAAATTAATGAAACTGATTGGTTGAATATAATAAAAATTCCCAAAATTGATGAAGAAGCTTGACAGTATTTGGAAAGAAAGTTTTTTGTTGGGAGAAATTGCAATTTAAAGAACAGTAAACAATATTAGATGAAGGGAACCATACTTTGTTCGCACAGAGTGGATAAGAAATAGTTTTAGCTGTATTCATAAATTTAATTAAATGTTACGAGAAATAAATATTGATTTAATGGCATTTGAAGGACCGTCAAGAATAGAACTTTTAAATAAAACATTTTTTAAAGAATAAGTGAAAAGGGTTTATTAGCATAAGTAAATTGAGGTAATGTCATTATTTAGTAGAAAAAAAAGCATACCATTATTAAGAGATCGGATAAGCTAAGCAGGATCCATTAAGCTAATATTAGCCGTACTGGTATTACGTAATAATATTAAATACTAGATAGCTGTAAGAAAAAGTTTAGTATTCGGCATATGAACCATTAGTAGAAATATTAGCAAAGCAATTTTGCTACTAAATGGCACACCAAAAAAGAATTGTAGATTAATATTTTAATATTTAAATAAATTGGCTATAAAGCGCTCCGTAACTAAACCAGCATGCTGAAATAAATTTATATGTCCTATTTATGAAATTAATCTACTACAAAGTATATTGAAAAGAATTGTAGTCTAATATCATGATGTTTTACATAGCTGGCCTTAAAGCGCTCAGTAATTACGCTATCATACTAAACTGAATGAGTATACATGTTAGTGTATGTCATAAAGTTAGTTCGCTAACCTATTTTTATTATATTTTCCTTAGCTAACAGATTTTGGTATTTTTTTTAAATCTGTCATCTGTGACGTTATTCATTCTTGTATAGATAAAGGCATAGCTTCATAATATTTTCTAGAACTTATAACCAATATTTTCTAAATTGAGTACCATTTGAGTGTTTTTTAAATAAAGTTTTTATTCACTTCGTCTAAAGAGACTAATGGTGTTGCTGTTTTCTTGGCGATAGGTGATCGTCAGTATTTAAAACGATAATGAAGATATTTGTCACAGAGGACAACTTGGCAATAAACTCGTGGAGGTTGTTTTTTTGTAATGATTTTATTTTTTTGCCTTTACAAATTTCAAATTGTAATAAAGTGACTGTCGTAGTCAGCCCACGACAAGGAGACCTGGGCCTTTGAAGTTGTATGAAAACTAAGGCTACCACAGCAACCACAGCAAGTATGCCTCAACAGGCTAAGCGTAGACTAGTCTTAGGCTTTTAAAATAGTTTATTGAACGAAGGTAGTCTTGCCATCCAAGACTACTCTGACCCCACGGTCAACCGACAACTGATCTGCTAGTGAGAGCGCTAGGCTTTATATACCCTAGCTCGGTTGCACTCGGTGCACAGCTTAGGTAAACAACTCTAAAACATACAGCTTTTGTATAGCCGACTGTCTATATGGTTTAGTATGGCAGACGGCGTAAACAACACTAATGAGTTATGAACTAATTAAGAGCTAATTAAAAACCAAAGGCTCAGCACAAAGTAACAGAAATTACTATGGTGTGAATATTACTTATCACCTCTGTAAATACATTGCTCTGCACAGAGTCTACAACAAGTATAATTAGACTACTAATAATGTTACAATTATCCCATAGCTATTAAATAATAAAATCTTAATTACTAATTACTAAGGCTAATGCCACAATTAATTGATGGAGTCTATACTCCGTCACAGTGACACAATGTATACAGAATGCCATAATTATATAGCCAAAAAGCAATTTTTCTCCAAAACAGTTTCCTAATTCACATCGATCGCATTGCCGTTTGAATTGATAACAAAAACCCTTGAGCTACATAGACCTATACGACTAGATCTGTTTCGATTCTTTGGCTTGCTACATAAGCCAGCCAAGCAAGTTACTGGATGAATAAATAATCTCTTAATTACGGCTTTGCTTGTTATGGTGTACAAAAATGGATTAAGAGCAGAGTTAATCGGTAATGCAAAAATACCGATAAATTGTAATGTGATCACATTAACGCCTTTACTTGTAACGAAACCGAAATTATTAACCGCATAATATGGTACCCAGCTAATTAAATTGGTGAGTAGTATGATTGATAAGCGCAGTGCAAGTACTTTATTTTCCTTATTAGCTGATTTCCTAGCAGCTTTTCGAGTCTTGCGAAAGGATATAAACATTGCTATATATAGTGAGAACGTAATAATCCAAGCAAAAATTGTAGAAGCAATATAGGTTATCATCCAAATGCGGTAGGAAGGGTTCTCATAATTGCTTGGCATGCATATGCTGTTATAGGTGTATAATCGTAGTTCACCAGGTTGATTAATACTGAGTAGTGCTGGAATAAGTGCAAATAAAAAGCATACTAGCCACGTTATACAGGTGATTACTCGAGTAGCAGATATGCTTAGTTTTTTTGCTTTAAGCAAATATACAATAACGATGAACCTATCGGCACTGATAATTAGCATTAAAAATACAGATACTAAACTGGATGTAGTCACAAGAATACAGGATATTACACATAACGGATTTCTTAGCCAATTCTCAGATTGTAGACCGTATTGTTCTTGGCTACTGTACGTTGAGTTAGCAAACGCTATGATGAATAAATAGATTGACATCAAGAAGTCGGACATAGCCAGATTATTAATTAATAGTACATGGACTTTCTTTGCCGAATTGCCTATGCAGCAATTTTGTATAATAACCAAAATATTACCCAAAAAAGCTAGGCAGCCGACAACCCAGACAAAAGATTGCATTGAAACATGAGCAAGTAGATGTTGACAAGATGATAAAGTATCTGATGACACTGATGGCTCGCAAGTCACAATTTTTGCGGGTATCATGCAGCAAAAGTATGGACGATTAGTTAGCCTATAAAAAAATTCAGTGGTAATGATGAGAGTATGAGTAACTGTTAAAAGTTAGAGTAGGTATTTAAATTAAAACAGCATCGCTAAAAACGAAATTGCCAAATTCACTTACGTTTCCATCAACTTTGCTGGACCAAAAAATGACCCTCGGGAAATATAGGCCAATGAATTCTTTCGTAAATCTCTAAGACACGAAGATGCCGATTTTTGTTATTTTACAATTATGACATCGCAGAATGGTGTATAAAAAGATAAAGATTATCTCTTAGCAAGCAAAGAATTGACATTCTGTTTCAATATTTGAATCAAGCTGCTACGGTTTCTCCTCACCATAAATATTGGATAGGATAAAATGTTACTAAACTTATTAATGAGTTACAGATAATATTATTATTAGAATTTATATGAGAAAGATAAAGTTAAAATTAAGATACTGTATCAAACTTGACGGAGTACAGACTCCGTAAATTAATCGTAGCGTTAGTTTCAGTAATTCAGATTTTATTAGTTGTTAATAACCTTTATTAATTAGGTACTCCTTAATTGTAATTCTATTAGTAGTCTAGTCATACTTGTTGTAGGCTCGAGCAGAATGGTGTACTTACAGAGATGACAACTAATATTCACACATAGTAATTTCTGTTACTTTGTGCTGAGCCTTTGATTGTTAATTGGCTCTTAATTACTTCGTAACTCATTAGTGTTGTTTATGCCGTGTACCATACTGAACCATATAAACAGCCGGCTCTACAAATCTATATATTTTTAGGGTAATTTACCTAAGCTGTGCACGAAGTGCAGCCGAGCTAGGGCATATAAAGCCCGGTGCTCTCATTAGCTAGTGAGCTAATGATTGACCGTGTAGTATACGCGTGTAGTTAGAGTAGTCTTGGATGTCAAGACTACCTTGGTTTGATAAACTAATTTAAAAGCATAAGTCTAGTCTACTCTTAGCCCGTAAGGGGCACATTTGGCTGTTGTAGCTTTAGTATTTATACAGATTCAAAGACTCAGGTTTTCTTGTCGTGAGCTGAACACGACACTATCTTAACATCAATACATATTACTTATTAGACTGCAGTGTTGAGGGTATTTAACTGAACTCTACTGGTTATCGTAATATATTTAAATTAGTACATGTTACCTACAGTAATTACTAGGTTAAATTCTCTATAGTCAAGTAAATTACTCTTTAGTTTCTTAGTTAACATTCCTTTTCTCTGAATTCTGGAAATACATGCACATAAGTATATAAGCCAGCTACTAAAATTATTTAAGATCAGTTGTAATGGGAGTTACTTAGTGGAGTACGTTACTTCTTCGATAAAGCTAATTCATAGCAAGTTTTACTTTGGCTCATTTTTCAGTCACAAACGTGTGATACAAGGGTACGCATATGTGAAAATCAAATTGATTTTCAAATATCTAAATGTATGAATATATCAGTACTGAATAATGATCAATAATGTACAGTGGCACTATTATTAATGTGGTTCATATTCGTCCAACATCAGCTGCTTTTCGTAATGTGATGTTAATTTGGATAATGTAAATGGATCAAACGGTTACAAATATCAATCTTTGTAAGAAAGCTGCGATATCGTTTATCGACTAACTAGGAAGAAATCGGAAATACGGTATGGTGAATAAAATTTGCTTTCCATTTCTACGTAAAGCACTTACAACTTTCGCAGGCTTGGCAACCCCTTAAAGCATCCTTCTTGGAGATTGTTGATCTTATTTTTGCTTGCATCGCTTTATTATCAATTTATGATTTTATAGTTTAGTGCTAGCAGTATTTGTACTTTGTGCTCAAATATAAATTAACATAGGCAAAATAAATCTTCCCTAAATTTAAGACTTACATTTCTTGTATATTGGGAAATATTTCTACAAAATCAAGATTTAGGCCACACACTTCTGCTATTTGATTGCTGGAGATATTACTAGTTCAAGTAGGCACACGTTATGATAGCTACGTTACTTGTTAATAACTCTAAACTTTATCAGTCTTAAGATTATGCTGTAGTCAAATTCTTGCTAAGAAATGAGTAAAGTATAACATTACCCGATACATTTGATAATGAAATCAGATCATGAGTATCCAAGATATAAACTTACAGCTTTTTCAGATTTATATATCGAATTATTTGTGTAGATTTAATGCTTTTTAGACTATTTTCTGCAATACTCCTGAAATAAATGTTAAATATTGTTATGAAATCGCTTTTAAATATTTATGTTAGAGCTTTTTGATTTGCTTCAAAATGAGGAAAGAAAACAGCATAAGTTTGCAAATTTCGTTTATTATCTGTAGTATACCGAACTATTAAGGTACCACAGAAACTATTTATCGGAATATCAAAAGCTAGATATTAACTATTCAACGCCAACAATGCAATATATTCTTCGTATGATATTATTACTACAGTCATTGGCCTCTTCTTTAGCATTGAAATTATGTTTATATTTTTTGGTATAAAAGAATTAGTATTTTAATGTAAACATTCTTGATTAAATTATAAAGGCGAGTATTTTATTCATCTTACAGTTCCGTTATTAAATTTAAATCGTTGCCAGAGACATCAAACATATCAAATTCACGTAAGTTGTTGCCATTTAATGATCTGTTATTAATGAAAGACTTGATAATATTAATTATATGCGCCTGCTATGAAGTTTACGTAATTAACTCTAACTCTTGAATACTTGAAGAAGTTTAGAATATGAAGTTCTTTGAAGTATCATTATTCTTAGAATATTATCTTGTTGTATCGTACTGTTAATATAATATCTTGTACTTACAAAACTCTAAGATAATCAAATGCAAACGCTTTTTCTGGGATGGCTGAAATGTTGCATTTATTTAGATGACTATAAACAGGATTATTGATTGTCAAGTTAGGACAGGTAACGCTTTATAAAATTTTTCCTATTATCATGTTTCTTTAAATACTTGAGAAGACTAATACTGCAAGTTTTACTTTATTATTAAAGGTAGTGGTCTATGAGTTAGGGTTATTTGCTACTTTAAATATCATCAGTATCGAATTAAATTCAAAATATAAAAAAATTCTAAATGTTCTAGTGGGGTATAAACAATTACTCATACTGTAATCGCTAAATGTGTATTAGCGTATCAAAACAATTTAGGATATCGTGCAATCATTTTTTGACTAGAGGCATTTTTAATTTAGTACATAAATTTATTCAAATAGTTCCAGTAACAAATAACTAACACTAACTGTCAGTCCTAAGCTATACAACTGTTATTTTTTAATTAATCTTCAGTAAGAGGCTTTTCACTCTGAATTTTGATTATTATAATAAAAACCTTGTTGGTGCCATAATACAGATAATTTTTAATTCTATATTCGCTATATTATGCTATAAAAAACAAATTTTCGTTTTTTCGGTATAACTTATTTATTTAAATTATAAACTATGAAGTATTTGTATTTAAGGAGAATTATATAAAAAAATATCAATCTACATATATCATTGTCACAAACTTATGTTGCGAACTACTACACTAAACTAATAGATTACTTATGCCTTACTCCACTACACCTAGAGTTCTAGTGTATGGCACTTCTATACTACTTACGGTCACACTGGGATAAGACTGTTCTACAAGATTAGTATACTTTTTACTAATGGAGTAGCTGAGTACCTTCTCGTACACGATCTAATAAAGAACTCAGGAACTGAACATTCGCTCGTCCTTTATACCCTTCCACTAAATTTGTGGTGCACACATAGTAACTTTACAATATAATATTTACATGATTTGTATAGCTAAATACTAACAAAATCTATTTAATTAGCAAGTACGGTGCTTTGCTCCGTAACAATCATCATAACAGTCTATTATGGCTTGACTACTATCCAATTGGATTTATAATTGAAGGAATTAGTAACTTTTGACCTTGCATGTTTTTCAATTATTAATGCATAATCTTCGAGAGTGCGACAAAAGATTATTAATTACTTACATCCCAATTAGAAATGGCCCGACACGTTCATATAAATCTCTTACGAAGGTGTTTAATATTATTGGATTATCGCTTACATCTCTATATTATTAAAAAAAATTTGGAAACCTTTATTGATCCTTCCCAGATAGTAGTTTATCTTAGTTAGAAACAGCTCATAAAAGATTTAATAAAGGAAATTGTAGTTGAAGCCGAAACCTCATTAGATGAACATAATTTTGGTATTCACAATGTAGTAGAAGTATTAACTGTAATGATGTGACAATATTTAGGATTTATAAGATGATCTACAGTATACTAATGTGCCAATTTGAGGGTAAAGATTTATTTACATACAATTTTAAATTGATTATTGCTGCCATTCCATTAATAAATCTAGGCCAGTTATTACCTACCAATTTTCTACAAAAGTAATGATAAAGTTTTTGTTTCTATTATTATCATTGAAAAGGCATACAGTAACTACTATTAAGAATTTTGAGAATAATCGTTTTTAATATAAAATTAGACTAATTTTTAACTCTAGTCTTTATCATTCCATTAAAGCAAACTTACAAGTCGTTAACTAAATTCAATTTATCTAGAAAGTCTTTCTGCACATCTATTCCATTTGCAATCAGATTGGTGTAGCTCATATCACTGATAAAGATATACAAAGTAAAGGCTGAACTCTAGCAATACCGTTTATTAAGCTAATGATATTAAGTTCTTTATCAATGAACCATTAGCCAGCAACTTACATTTTAGTGACTTGATAGAATAAGCGATCACAGTTGCCGTCAAATTCTAGGATATTGTTATATGCTAAATTTCTAAAATTGAACAGCAACAGAATCTGATTAGTCTGCCTTATTTCTGATAGTTTATAAGAATATTAACATAAAGATTTAAAACTGCAGGGAAGAACTGCAGCGGTTAAAAATAATTGCCAATTGAACTTATTACTTACAGAGATCTGAGTACAGGAGGCAATCCTGAGCAATTCAAGTACGTAATCTTGTTTCCAGCTAAATTGCTAAAATTAAAATTGATTCAATTGCTATATTGAGAAAAGTCATAAGTTATACTGTATAAAATTATCTATTTTAGCCTTCGATAATATTCCGCAAAATACTTAAAAAATATTATTTATACAAATCTTCACAATAACTTAGCATCTGCCTTCTGATTTATTGTCACGGTACGCCGTTACTAATTAAGTAACTGTAAATTAATGAATGCTTATGAATAGATAAGATAAGGTTATGTGCTATGTTTTAATGCGCTTGTAGCTGATAATAGGATGGTAGAAATGAGATAAAAATAGCAGTTGTTAGCAGTTAATTTACTGTAGGTTTATAAGGTGTGTTAATCTCTAAAAATTGAGCTGTACATGTGTAATGTAACTTAGTATTGTGATTGTAGACTATTAGCCATGTGTAGTATAATGTACGGTAGATATTTATCCTAAGAGATATTTGGTAGCTGTAACTATAGACTGTAGTAGTATAGACTCTATGCTAGAGTACAGATGGCTATATACAGTAAGCTGTTGAGTTACTAATATGGCTATAGGTAAAAATAGAACTGTAAATCATATATTATGATATGGTTAATTCATTGTACTTTGGCTGGTGTGAATAATGCCTACGTAAGTAATGTAGTCGTATCCATATTGGATTAATGATGGTCCGCAGTAGAATAGTGTTACTAAGAATAATTTAAATATGTGTAAAATAAGGTAAAAGGTTGCCATGCGGATTATAGCTGCGAATGCTACGAAAAGTATAAAAGCATGCAACTATAGATTATTCTGTTAGTTCGTAGTAGAAGTCTTTAGTAGTAGTATTCGGCTAGAGTAGAGCTGTGTAGTTAATCTTTGTATAAGATTCAATAAAGCCCTTATTTTTCTAAAATTTGGAATTTCGTGATCGGTATATATCACAACATGGACGAAGGTTAAGCGTCTTAACACCTGATAGCTTGTAGCTATCTAAGTCTGAGAATATCGACATGTATATTTAGTAATGGTATTATACTAATTAATGTAACTTGTAAAGCATGAATTCTCACTCGTTAATATTGGAATTCACTGTAGAAACCTATTTAAGCGCGTGTGTTTGTAGAATAAAGTAAGTAATTGCTCAAGAAACGGCAAGACTCATATCGTGAAGAATAGTGTAATAATTAGTCAGTTGTCTGTGGAGATCAGCCGAGAAATCGAGTTCTCAAATACTTCTCTCATTGAAACTGTAGTACTGGGAGAAAAAAACCCAAGGTTTAAGTAACTACACTAGAGTTCTTTACTTTCCTTTGCCACAAGTGAGGGTTGTGACATTTATATATAATACTTATTTGATTACATCTACGAAACATCGCTAATAATCCAATAAAAAGAGTATAAAAACAAAATTCAAGGCCTAAATTAATAACTGTTTGACATATGCCAAGTTGAATTAAGAAATTTTTGTGGATTAAACGAAATTGTAATAGTTCTCATTAGTTATGGTAAAATATTTGTCGTTTCTTTTAACTGATTCAAAGACTATCATGCTTGTTATAGCTATGGGTAATTCACCTACAATTTGTATCACTTAACAATAGATGTTATAAGAAGTATACAATATATATAAATTGTCTACTAAATATGAGTTCGTTCTTTCGTATATTTACTTACAGGTTTTCAAGAAAAGTTAATCCCAATTCGTCTTGATCAGACAAGGTTACTTTGTTATTACTTAAATCGCTGAATGAAGAAAAAGAACCTGATTACACTTTTGGTGCAATTAATTTATCGCGTATGTAATAAAGTAGCCATCTTGCTTACAGAATTCTTAAATTTCGGTAACGTGAAAGCAATTTATTTCTTAATTCGGTTATAGCATTATTACTTAAATACCTGAAATTAAATTACTTAGATTACCTATACAAAACCATACATACTGGTAAATTCAGAATTATCTTAAGGTCTAAAATTGCAATTTTGATGAAATTTTATTATCAGTGATTTGAATTGTATAGGTAACTAAAATCACTTACAATTGGCTGAGGTACGGTAATGTGACATTAAAGATCTTTGCAATATCTTCAATGCGATTAGAATTTAAGTTTCTTTTATATGTAGGTAAATGAGGCAAGATTAATAATTATAAGACATATCCAGAATTTCTTTAGATTAAATAAATGTTAAAGTCTTCACCAAAAGGACAAGAATGGCATAATGTGCCTAATAATGAAGTATTAATATATCTTACAATATTCGTATGTTTTGCAATCCTTTCAAAATAGGATAAAGTTCCGATATTTGGTTATGTTGCAGATGCCTAAATGAAGTATTACGTATAAGTGTTAAAAAATTATTTAAACGAAGTAAAAATAAACGTCTTACTAGGTAAGCGTTATACATATATCTTACAAAGTATTCAACTTTGTATTCATGAAGTAGTTTTCTCTCAAAATTCCAATCTGGTTATAATCAAGGTACCTTATAAGAAAATAGTCAATTGTGATATAAGAAATAGTTCTCAGCGTGTCTTTAGATGCATAAATTCTAATGCTTATTTAATGCAATTAGTGTACATAATTTGGTACAGTAAATCGAAATATTGGTTTTTTCATTAATAAAATGAATTCCTAAAAATTATAAAACAGTAGCATAACCCTAAGATATATATTAATTTAAAGTTTACGAAAAGAAATTAAATTGATGGCGTATATTATAATCGCAATTACAATACGATTTACAAAATCAACAGATTACTTACAGCTCTTTCAGACTTGTTAATTTTGCAAAATCTTGAACGTTTACGAATGTTATACGATTCGATGTTAACGATCTAGACGGTAAATTTATCAATTATATCTTCTGTTATTTAACACTCCTGATAGCTGCGCTATTTTATTCTTAAATAACTGTATCTATATAATATATATCAGTTTGTGGATAAAATGTCAAGATACAAATAGTAATAATCTAATTCGACGCAAAATTACAAAACTGTATTTGCTATGTTAGTAGAATCAGGGACCACTTAATCAAAATTGTACTCCCGCACGATTTTGATTGAATAATCCCATATAGAATGTTAATAATTTATTAGGTAATATGCCAAATTTTCCAAACAACACTACCTCATTGTATAAATATTAAGCACTAAAAATGCGATTGTAATTAGAACATAATGTATAATGCTATACAAAGTAGACAAAGTAATAAGTAGTGCTCAAATAGCGCTTATTTTTCAAGTACATCTTCATCCTCATGATTACTACTTTTCGCAAAGCACAACACTTGTCAATTTTATAATAATTAAGCTATCCCTTAATTTAATACTAGTATAAATTAAGTCCTAACAAATTCAACCGTCCAAATATACTTACCGCAATAGAAGTATTCATATACTACTCATATGGAAAAGTTTATTCGGTTAGATAACATGCTATACTTAGCTCATAAACTTACACCACAATAAGTTGAGATAGTGATCTTATAAAATCTAATTTCTTTAGCTTGTTATTCCTTACAAATCTACAAAATTATCACCAGAAAATAATTTATAGGAGATTCTAATAGGAAATTTTCCAATAATTTTTTAGTAAAATCATTAAAAATTGAAGAAGTAAATAAAGCATTTTTAAAGATTCTTTAAGGCTGTAAACTATGTAACCAAACCAACTCTGGTATAGCTATTGCAAGGAATAGCCTTTTGAATCAACTTACAATGATTGTAACCTTGACAAAGGTTCTAACGCGTCTATATGTATAAAATCAAGACGATTGGAGGAGATATTTCTGCAGCATTTAGATAGAATTTAGCGGTTAATAGTATTTAATTCGTACTGTAACATTAAATAGAATGGAAAAGACACCTTTATCTAACATTTTAACGTTTAATTTTTCTTCATTCCATGAAATGACAACATTCGCAATGAATTTGTTTAATGAAATAATTAAATTTTAATTATAATTGATACAAAACAATTTCACTCATTTCGACAGAATTAAGTAATATGGCATTTTACTGATAAAATAATTGATAATTATAACTATTAGAATCAAGAATAATCGGTTTGAAATTATACACTGATCAAAGAAAAACTACCTCATTACCGTTAGGTTTACAGTCTACCAAAAGAAATCTATTTTCTAATCAACAATTACTATCTATCTTTGAATAGAAACTAGCTCAACTTCTACCGACTCATTAAATATTTTTTCCAAGGACATATTACATTGTAATTCATTACTCAGTTGGTTCATTTTAAAGCTTTTTAAACAAACAAAATTTTAAAAGCAACAATGTCAAGCCTACGAATTAGTTAGCATAATGCTAAATTTGCCTGTCTTATTCAGAAGATGGATTAGAAATTTTACTAGTAAGTAATAACGTAAATTTATTTCAAGTTACACCAAAAAATCATCTAATTATATTATAAGGGCCGTAACTTTTTCCAGCATTAACGGAAAAGGTGCAAATAGGGCTTACATTGAAAGCACCTGATTGTAGTTCTTCATCTCGAACAGATTTTTCACGCTTCTTATGTTGGTATACCTATTGCCTGTTAAATCACTAATATAAATTTCAATAGAAATATTGGTAAGTTAAAGTAAACAAATATAAATATGACTAAATGCTTACATTAATTTCTGCTTAGGTTCAAACTCCAGTGATAATACTTACAGACTAATTAGGTGATCCAGAGTAGAAAAATTGAGTAGCTTTGATTCGTGAAGTTTATTGTAAGATAAATTACTTTTTTCAAGCAAGATAAAAAATGTAAATATTGTAACGAAATAATTAGGATATCAAAAGTTAAATGCATTAAAATGAAGTTATAGCGTTAATTAAAATTTTTTGTCATTGCATCACTAAACAAATTCATTCCTAAATTGACTTACAGGGTTCTACAGTCCCCAAACTCTAGGTGTCTTATTTCTAATAGAAAGTTGTTGGTCAAATCCCTGTATTAGAAAAATATTTATTAAAAGGAACAATCAATAGAAATGAAATATTCCGCGATATGTTACTATAATAAAGCTTTTTCTTTAAATATTTTCTAGATTAATAGTCTTATAACTCAGTCATTTGCTCTTTTGGGACTGTGCTTCAATTTGTTGCTATGCAACAAACATGGTCGATTTTATTCCGATTACGCAATAATGGAGTTGTCATAACATTTATGTAACCATAGAACTTGTTAGGACTTACAAGCTATGTATCACTGTGGCCTTCCTTCCACTGCTAGCTAATTTACTTTTGCTATAAAGCTTTAATGGATATGATCTTGATAGTCCTCTAAATAGATATAAGTGATCATTAATAAGTAATGTATCATGAAATTATATTGTAATACTTTCAATGTGCTATAATATTAAATTTTAGTGCAATGTCTTAGTTGTTTATAAGAAAATATCACTAAGTGTAAACATATCATAAGATTAAATCAGAAGTTAGATGTATAGCATACAAGAAATCCATAAATGTCACAACAGGTAATTTAAATTCTTGAAAATTTCTGATAGGGTTGCCGCTAAGCTCTCTAATAAAATTATATTTATAATAGACTTTCTTGGTAAATGTTTTAGTTCATTTCACCAGATATCTTTTAAAACTGTATATAAATTTAATGTAATTAATCAAAATCTGGTTTACATAGTGAATAAATTAATTATTAAAGAAGTTGCACTTACAGTGATTGTAATTTTATCAGGCCTGAGAATGCATTAGAATCAATATAAGATATTTTGTTGGTTTGTAAACGTCTAAGCATGACAGAAAACATATCAAAGACAAGAAATTACTCATCATATAAGTAAATACTTCAGCTCTAGCTATTCACTTGGTAACAATCAAAGTGACTAAGTAAAAAAAAATTATCGTAAAATAAAAAGGTTTATATACTGCTATAGAGTTTAACGTTAGCTATATGGATTGGTTATAATTTAGAATAAATAAAAGCATAATTTTCAAGAATTTATAGTTGTGACAGTGTTATATACTGTATTAGAGTAGAAGTATCTATGTTAGGATAATTTTGTTAGCCTATCCTTTTTATTCAACTTTGGATATACTGTGTTTTAAAATAGCACTGGCTTTTTATGACATTCACATATATATAAATACATATACTGAAATTAATAGTTATATTATGGAATTCGAATTATCTACTTACAATTCGAATCATTGTGATTGTAACTTACTTATGGTAGATTATAGATTATCGTAGAAATGTCCCGTTATACGACATATCGTAATCTGACTATTCTGTATTAGTCATCAGATGTCAATCTTCGTGAATACTGTTGTCTGCATCAGGGAGCATTAGCTAAAATTAATGTCTAATTCAGTGAATGATTCCAAAGTTAATCGTACTAACTATGACTCATGAATTATTGAGGAAGAGTATATAATCGCAATATATCGTATAATAAAGTTAATTCTTAAACTTAGTGTTTAATGTAAAATACGAGGCATCTAAGTCTTTGTGCAGTCTACAGGTAGAGCAAAAGTGTTTCTGAGAGTGCAGATATCGTTCCTTGATACGTGGTTCAAGGAATTGATTTATTGATCGTACATTACGTTATCGTGCTGCAATGCTGTTTTGTGGCCATAGTGGAGAGCTTAATTAAATTATTAACATAACTGATTGTTAAAAATCTCCTATGTAACTAGAAAACGGATCTTAAACACTATCTTCACTAGCACTCGTGTTTCCAACTAACTTAGGCACCTATCGTAGTTGAACTAACTCTCAGCTACACAAATGAGCTACTAATGAGTAATAGGTTTAAATTATTCGCTTTATTTACGTTAATCTTAGTCGTAAAATGTACTGAAGAAAAACGTAAGAACATTCTTAGCAAAAATAGTCAAGTGATCCTGCAAGTGACTAAATGGAACTGAGCAGCTAAGCTAGTGCTCGGCTTTTTATAGTCTCGGCCCACACCGATGGTGCTCTTGTGAATATTCTTGACATAGTAATTTACACTGTACAGTATACATATCCTAGTATAGGAGTTCAGTCAGAAGAAGTTAACATAGATCGGTATAAGTCAACGCTAATTAACATTAAATGAACTAATGAGCCAACTAGAGCCTCAAGGCTCTGCAAAGTAATTACACCTTACACTTAAGGAGTTATTAGTTAACGTTTACTAACTAAGTGTGTTAGCTCCGACTCGTCAACAATATTGAACTTTCTGATACCTTGGCAATAACAACTTATTAATAAACATTAATATCTAATATGCTACTGGAGCAAACAACAATTTAAATGAGATAGTTTAATTAACATAGCAGTTATTATTTCGGAGCATAGCTCCGTAACACTGATCTTTTATTGAATGCACTAGTAATGAGAGGTTGAGATAATTTTTCCGTAAGTTGATACAAAATAACTTGCATTAGTAACGAAATACGAATAACTTCCAAAGTTAGTTAGCGGTATCAGTTTTAGAGCTTTTAAATTAGCTTAGTAATGCGCAAATTACGTAAGTGAATATGAATAACTAAGTTTTAAGATTTAGTATCTTTCCTATTATTACATTTCAATATTTGCTTGCTTTGCATTGTCCTTAACTTTGACATCAAACAATTTTCCAAAGTAAAAATAAAATGAATAGCCGAATCAATGCGTCATTCATAAAAAGAATTACAAGGGGTAAATGTATGCTTGTGTTACAGTGTTATATACTGTATTACAGTAGAAATATCTATATTTGGATAATTCTGTTAGACTATCCTTATTTAGTTAACTTCTAATTTGGATATACTATATTTTAATATAGCACTGACTTTTTATGACAGTGACACTTATACACATACTGAAATTAATAGTTATAATAGGGAATGCAAATCATCTACTTACAGTTCGAATCATTGTGATTGTAATTTACTTATGGTAGATTGTAAATTATCATGGAAATGTTCCGTGATAGGACATATCGTAATCTGACTATTCTGTATTAGTCATTATATATCTATATTCGTAAATACTGTTGTCTGCATTAAGGGAGCAGTAGCTATACTTAATATCTAATTCAGTAAATGATTCCGAGGTTAATTGTATTAACTATGACTCATGAACTATTGAGGAATAGTATATAAATGCAGTATATCGTGCAATAAAGAGAATTCTCAAACTTAGTGTTTAACGTAAAATACGAGGCGTTTAAGTCTTTGTGTAGTCTGCTAATAGAGCAAAAGTGTTTGTGATAGTGCAGATATCGTTCCTTGATTCGTGGTTCAAGGAATTGACTTATTGATCGTATATTGCGTTATCTCGTTGCAAAGCTGTTTTGTGACAGCTTGCTACTTACAATATTTTAAGATTCGTAAGATACTCAAACTGATAGGCGCTTAATGATTGAAGTTCATTTTCATTTAGATTTCTAGGTCAATTTCAAGAATTTTAAAGAAATTATTATTATTATTATGGGTAAATATAGTTTATATCGTTCGTCAAACAAATACAAATATTAGTGAACTCACAAGTCCTTAAGACTAATCAACGGTGTAAAGATAACGGAATCCAAATGAGTTAATTTATTACCAGCCAAATCTCTATTTCATATTATTGAAGAAATGATAGAATCAGTACATTGATAGCTAGTTAAATAAAATTAATGCAAGCCTGATTATCTTTATAGCATAAGATACAGTCTGGAAGCAATAACCAACTAAAAAACTTTTTTCAATTAAGACAAAATAATTAAAAGCAATTTTCCTTCGCAGAAATATTTAAATTCTGCTACAACTACGGTATCTACCAATTAGGAGTAATTGGAAAATTAGCTGAATGCAATGGTGGCAATGCAGTAGCTTTTATTTACCAAAAAATTTAGATATAGTTTTATATTTCGATCTGTTTTTTTTACGTACAAAGTGGTAAGATTGAATAAATCTTCAAATGCTGTGGCATTGATTACGGAGATGTTATTGAATGTTAGCTCCCTAAGAATAAAAATTCGATAAGTACTTTAAAATTTTTTAATATATTGTATGATTTTATAATATGCTGGGAGAATTTTAACATTAATGATTTTTGCCGAGTAAAAGACATTTGAAGGAATTATTGTTAATAACAATTTTAGACCTGCAATTGATAAAAAGATAAGTAATAAATAATTACAGTTTTAAAAGACTTTCAAGGCCGGAAAACTGGTAGCTCTCCAACAAATTTAATCGGCTATTAATGATACTCCTATTTAATATTCAAACAGACGTGAATAATTTTTCAAGAATTCATCTTTCACTAATTTACGTAGAAAAGTTTCAATATTAACAGAGCTTGTAAATGTCACTTAATGAAGATATAAAGCACTCCAAAACTATGTAACTGTGACAAAAGCGAATTAAAAGCATAACAATTATTTACTAATTAAGTCATTAAAGTATATTTTGTGCACAGAAATATTGATAACTGCGAGTACGTGAAAACTATTGCGGTTGTTGTAAAATATTAATTAAAGTACAATTATTTTGTTTATGAAAGGATTTTAAAGAAGTGTTATAGAAAATATTTATTAATTTATTCATCAAATTATAGAAAACAATTTCGACCTTATGATAATAATTGTTCATAAATAAAATGAGGATTTAGGTAGCTGATTTGATATGTAGTACTAAACTGCGCGAATTGATCTTAAAAGCCAATAGTAAAGTAGAATAGTATACACGTTGATCATGTAGTTGTCTATGGGATGAAATGTAGAGCAGTACCGATTAGATCAGTACAGAGACTGATATTAGACGAGTAATTCTTCATAATGCCAAATTACAAGGCAATTTTACGGGACCAACGAAGGTAGAGTATACCTATTTTATATTATCGCCTTGTGTCATAACCTAGAGCATGATAGTAACTTACAAAGATGTTGCCATGAGCATGGATTTAAATATTTTAGTAGGAAGATGGGATATGATATTGTTGTCCATAACTCTACAAAAAATTATTTATATTAATTGAGAATGTTAAAAATCGAAACATGACGGCTTACTGAGTTTCACTTTCGTCAAATTCTAGAATATCACCAAAAAGCATTACTAATCTAAACCCTACTCTACTTCATTTAAATTTGCCCTAAAATCATTTCATTATCATAATTTGATTTAAATTATCGATCTAACTATTCCAATACTTTTATCATACATACAATGCTTTAATTTTATTCAGTTGCCGGAAAGATGTTGGAGCAATAAACCGAAAAAAATTGCTATTTAAGTACCTGTGTAAATATGATTAGAAATTGCATAAAACAATGTTCGTTTTTAAATTAGTGATTATTAATTTTTATACATCATGTAAAAGAGACGATTTAGTATCGCTTAATTCTTACACATTCTCTAAGTTAGGAGCACATATGGTTTCTGGATAAATATGAGTCAGTTTATTGCGATCTAATCTCCTGGTTATTAATATTTGTCAGTATTAAAAGCAAGCTCTCTATTTATTTAGTTTACAAACATCGACCAATTATAATGTTGTATTTAATCTCAATATTCAAAATTTTATACTGAATCGGAATTCGATTAATAGACAATCTCGCTTATATACAATATAAGTGTATTAAACAATCCTTTATTATAACTGACTCGGAAGCGCTAATCTTATTGAGACTGAGTAATGAATCTTATATGTAGATCTATTCTAATAATATTCCCGAAAATTCAAGTATCACATTAATAGCAATCTTCGTAATAGCTTGGCTAAGGTAGAGGAATGTGCATTATATGGCATATAAATAATGTAGGCTAGTATTATAATGTTTTTTATGGCAGCTTTACGTAATCATAGACTGTGATTAATGTGATTAAATGACGTAGTTGTGCAACTAATACTACGCGCCAAAGGTCTTGATTTACTTAATTGTTAATCTAGAGGCTGATACCTATTCATAAAATTTCTTAGATAAGTGGGCTGATGTTAATTATTTATTAATATTGACTATTTAGAATATTTACGAATAAATAATCTTCATAATATTGGTAGAGTTTATAAAATTTAATTTCGTCAAAAATGATATAAATTCTTCTCTTTAGCCTATTACCATGGAACATTAATTTCATATCGTTGTTGAGTACGAAATTGGCAAGACTTACAACAATCTCAGTTGTTCAAGACCGCAAAAGGTTTTATTTTCTATCGTTAGCAGTCTGTTGACAGAAACGTTGCTGCATGAAGGGAGGCAAGACGCATCTCATAAGTATCGATGTTAATTATGAAGTCGTTAAGCAATAATTATATCCACAGTAATATTACTTTTTTAATTGATTGCCGATAAAAATATTACGAATGTGCCAGCGTGTCACAATCAAGCAGTAACGTTTGTTATCTAACTATAAGAAGTTAAGACTAAAGGTTGCTCTCCGGTGTTAGAGAATTACTAAGCTCAAATCAACAATTTACAACAAACTAAAAGCAGATCTAGTAGCCTTGCAATACAGTCCTGCATAAAACAGCGAAGTAAGTGAATAGTGTTAAAAACCGAAATAAAATTAGATTATTGTGCCAGGAATAACGTTGTCTAGTTCAATAGGACGCGGTATTTTTCAGAATGATGTAGGTGCAAAATGTAATATACTAAAATCTATTAGCCAAGTGTAATGGTCTGCATAGAATAAAGTATGTTAGTGGACTATGGCTTATGAAGAAACGGTGAAGAAAGGTAGCAGCATTGCGGCTATTATACTAGGATGTCTCGAAAAGCCTGAACTATTCTTCTTATAAACTAAGTGCGCGACATTTAGAATACAGGAGCTTAACGAGGTCTATATGGTTATAATTGTCCTAAATTGTGAACCTGTAAAGAGTTGGAGTAAGCACTGAAGCTCGATATAAGTATCGAGTATATGCCTTATCAGGAGGACATTGGTTAACTAGAATAGTTAGTTATAAGAAATAAATTGGTATGCTTTACTATTTTATTATTTTAGACTAGCTTACACAAATCTATAATTGTTATAAACTGTAATAAAGAAGACTTTCATTTCTACTCAAATTTCTACTTTTATTATGGGCTGTAGCGGTAGAACTGATTACAATAGTCGACCTTAATACATATCATCTGGTTTTTGTTTATTAGCTCTCTATATGACAATGAGGACTGTTGCATATTTTGCTCGGTACCTAATAAACTTAAGGTCATCATGTTACATTATTTTAAGGTCTTACGACGCTAACAAAATAACTTAATTTTTATGCAATTCGAAATATGGGTATATACTCTAAAAATTTATGTATATGTATGAACAGATAAAGAACTACATGAAATTCTATCATAAGCCAAGGTTTACTGCTTTGTTGTGATTTAATTATGCATTATTCTTGTACATCATCTTCTAATATTTCGTTATCTACGGCAAGACCACGTATTAAATGCAAAAGTATGTTTAACTTAACACGGTTAAATGCTCTCATAACCTACTTACAATATCATGAGATTTGTTAAGCTTCTCAGATGATGACGTTGTAAGTTCTCTAAACGGTTACCTGTTAGTGCACTATAAAGCTCATTTTTAAGTCGTGGATTAAAGTATATAACTCAGAATAACAAACAGTCACTATACAAATCAAATCCTGTGGTAAAAGTTGGCTCCGATATTAATCTAAAAGTGTCTAGAGGTGTACGAAACTGGCAAATTTATTTATTTAAAAATGATATGAGCTAACCGGCTTAATAGTTGGATAAATTATGCACTTTGACGAAAGAGTTTTCTATCTGAATTATTAAATGATCGAAAGTAAAGATTACTTATTTTATCTTATCTTCTTGTGTCACATACTTGGTCGTGATATTATGTTAGTAAGGTTTATGTTTCGTAATTTATTTGTAATCGTTTAGAAAGCAAATCAGACTAATGTAAAGAAGGACTAAAAGGAATATCCAATTATAATGGCTTACAAAGAGAAATCAGGAATGATATTAGCCACTGCAGCGAGAAAAAAATTATGTAGAAGTAAAATTTGAGTACTGCTTATAAACTCGTTTAACCTTTCTAAATTAATAAAAATAAAAGCTGGCCGAGGTTCATACGGAGCATTACAGTAGTGGAGAAGTTTGTATGGCATTAACAGTCTAGATCATGATCAATAGGCATTTTCCATGTATTTAATTAGATTCGAAAGTTTCATATGTCAAGTTGAAATTACCACTCTTGAATCACTCAAGTAACACGGGAAAGAAAGAACTTTTCAACAAATGCATAGAAACTTCATTACTTTTTGATATAGCTTAAAATTAATTGTTTCGATACTGGATATTTTAGCTATTCAGCTAAAATTTTAGGATATTAAAAATTTAGACAAGTGATTTCTGAAAGAGATCAGTGAAGTAAGAATCCCTTTTAGTTATTTACCGCAACTTAATAAAGCAGCATCACAGCATCTGCACTAACATATAACATAAAAGTTCTAGTTGACTATCTTTTTTTACAACCCTATACTGTGGCTTCCTTGAAGTTTTTACTTACAGGGAGGTAAGACTCCGTAAACCAGCAAATGAATCATTTTCAATAATATGAATTTTATTACCAGAAAGGTCCCTAATGAAAGACAACATTCAGACGTGTATAAAATTTAAAATAGTCTTTTCTTGAAAAGAATAAATTCTAACTTGTTAGTTAAATTAAATATTTGAACCTATATTTAAAGGTATAAATTTATAAGCTAATGCTATTAGAAACATTTAATGGATTATTACTATTATAATTTGCTTCTAATTTTAGAATATATTACTCTTGTGACTTACAAGAATTCGAGATTGCCAAGGTTACTAAAATAGTCCGTCCGTATGGTTGACAACTTGTTGTCTACGAGAGATCTATTAAGAAATAATAGCATAGATAAGATTGAGTTTACCTGACAATCATAAGGTCGCAGTAAAATTAAGAATTTTTGACCATAACCAACAATTAAAACACGTACGGTACGGTGCTGTTATAAATTGCGTATATTATTTTTATTTTAGATACTAAAGCTAAGATTGATTATTCTCATAGTGTAACTTACGATCAATACTGCATAGTTAAAATTATTGATTTTCAAAATTGGTATCATATTAAATCTTATAAATTTATTTTGATGGCATCGAAGCACTAGTTAGTGTAGAGTCTAATATTTGTAAGCAAAGTTAAATATAAAATCTAACTAAAATCCCTTAGTACGGTATCTGTTATTTACTGTGTTAATATTCTGAGCATTACTAAAAGTCAGAGTACCTATAAGTCATATAGTTTAAGGTGCAATCGTAATAGCATCATTTAAGTAGATTAATGGTAATTAGGCATTCAAATTTTGTTAAAATCGAATCCATGCGTTGCATTTGAGTTGAAAGACGAGCATCTATGAGACTATGAACTGCGTATCTAATCCTGCAGATTGATTAAACTATTCATCACAGTAGGGATAATGTAAATTGTTATGATGCTATTGGCTATTACAGGCTGTTGTTTCTATCTGACTTACATTTCGTTTACTTCCTTTGTTGGCTTGAAGGCGTCTTCATCAAGGGTAGAAATTTCATTAGAACATATAGATCTACAATAGTATAAGCGATAACATGAGAAGATGCTCGTTTCGATCTATAAATTGAACCATTCATTGATTTCTTTTGAAATACTAAGGTTAAAATTTCTTCTTATAAATTAGAAATCATCATAAAACTATAGGTAATCGATGTTTAATGGTTCAGTTCTTCATTCTTGTTTTATTTGCTAGATATTAATTACCACCACATCTTATCACATCAGCATATCTAGTATTTATCACAAGTTCTATATCATGCTCCGTATTATTCAGCTAAATTTAACTGTAGATATTTTTCTAATTCTATATGAATGTACAGGATGTAGGTTAACAATTGTATTAATAGATGACGCTATTTTTTGTTGTGTATGGCTTAAATCATACATACTCCATAATATTGCATTTTTAATAAGAATGTATAAACATGATATTGCAACTTGATATTGATTATACTAGAACAAATCATAAGCTTACAGTGAAATTTATAAATAACTGTAAAATTAATTATAACTTAGCGATTCTTACAGTCCTTTCAGCTCAGAAAGGCACGCAAGGCTACCATTAGAAATTTTTGACAATTTGTTTTTGTTGATATTCCTGTTATAAAGTACACCAGTATTATAACCTTTAAGTGAAATGCTAAGCTTAATTATTTAGGGAATAAAAGGATATCAACAGCAATGACATGGATAGCGATTTATTTCTAAGATATTAACTAATATAATTTTTCAGTATGGAATACACTATTTTGAATTGGCTGAAGCGAATGAGTGAATTGTATAAGCCAAAAAGTTAAAAGAGACAGTTAAGTGTATGAACATAAGAACTATAATAAGATAGAAAAGCCAATGTCTAACATGAATGCGCCCTGTATTTCATATGCAAGTAATCATGTAGTTATACAAAGCAATTCTATCGGAAACTGTTGAAATATTTTTATAATATATTTAAATTAAAGTACAAATCTGAATAAATACTAGATCGATAGGTATTGATTGGTTGATATATCACCGATGCTATGATGAACCGTATAATACTGTATAAACGTGTCACGAAAGTAATCTTCGTGACGTATGCTTTATTTCTATGTTACGTTCTATATATGCTTATCTCTCAGACATGTTTTACGGTCTCTTTAATTGTAGTTTTAGTAGTTAACAGTTGATATCCTTTATTTAGGATTATATATACACTAAAATAGTAATTGCCAACCAGCTAAACTGGATTATATCTATCACCTCTAAAGTTGCTAAGGTTCAAAGTGTAATTTCTAAGTTTAGAAGAAATGTCTTAGTAGAATAGCTTTATATGTATCTGTTAAACTATTAACAAGCAATGATTATTCAACTACTATTACAGTAAATTTAATAGGATTAGACGTTATGTAATCTATGCAGATAGAATCTCTTTAAGGGATTAATTTGGCTAATTTTTAAAAGGTGAGTTGTGTAGTTAAACCGGTTTTAGGTATCAAAACCTATATAAACGACGGATTCGCCGACAATAAATTAGATTGTGATTTTCTAGTAAGCTTTAAAGGTCTCGCTGTGTTAGACCCTATCTACCTTGGAATAACAATTGTCTGGTATTCCGAAGAACAGTAGCATAGGATAGAAATTACTTTCTCAATCTTTGTTGCAAGTTAGGGTTGTTCCTAGCTCGTGACAAAGCGTATAATAACAAACCAATAACACAGTTTTAGATTTAAGTCAGCTTACAGAAACTTTAAATTAGTCGACGAACAGAATGATTCACTTTCGATAAATTCGATGTTATTATTATCTAAAATCCTATTTGAAGATGAAATTGCCTAAATAAGTTTAATATTGGGTGAACAATAAGAGCTTTATCTACAGTGCATAATATAGTTTAGACTGAATGAAGCAATAGTAAATGTATTCTTCATTTGATATCGAACTGGCAACTACTAAAATCTTGGCTAAATTGAATTATGGTAGTTAGTGAAAGTATAGGCTGCTAATTCTGTTCGAATATAAAAGCAATAGCAATTATCCTAACAAAATAATTGAGCTGAGGCAGCGCTTTATGTTGTTGCTGCTACTTTAATATCAAAAGTGAATGCAAAACATACTGACATTAGTCCTCTAACAATTGCTAATAAAATAGAGATAAAGGAAAACATTTATTATATCTATGATAAATATATTAATAACAATTACTGTTTTGAATATTTTTGAATGTTTTATATTTACATGAATGCTATTTTCGAAGTACAGGCAAAGGTATATCGTTCAATTCTTTCAATTTTATTCATGTGGAGCAGACTAAAATTATTTAAGATTAATGGATTAGTAAGCCTTTATCCTGTAACCTAATATTATATTTTGATGTAGCATAATGACATTCTTGTAAAGAGCAATGCATACAGTTCCTCTACATTAGGTAATCCACAAAATGAATACTGCTCGATGTAAGAAATTGAATTTTGTTCTAGCTTTCTGAAATACCGAAAAAATTTATCAGCTTAAATTTTATAATGATAAAATATAATTTTTTTTCATATCAATTTGTGACAGCATAAGAAGTCCGTTGATAGTTGATAGTTCTTAATAGCAAAGAAATATCGCGTCTAATATTATTCACAATACATAAATCTATTCGCACGAGGTTGACTACGATATGCCGGTGCACTAAATAGCTTCAACATCTTCATTTTTAAAATTAACAACTCCTTGTTTATTTTTTCCATGATAATTAATTCTTTAACAAGAATAAGTTACAGCCTGAAATGCCTGCTGTAAATGAAATATTAAAGCGTGTGTGTTATGGACATGAATAATTTGAATAACATAATACAATATGAATGTATTTTTTATTTTTTTCCTATCCTGCTAATGCTATTCCGCTAATATTATGATGCAAGAGCTAATCTAGCAGTAGGCAGTAGAAAGCCTACTATAAAGGAACTACGCTTCCATTTAAGATCCTTAGTAAACTAGGTTAGACGTGACACTAGGTTTAACAGCATTTTGAATGAAGAAACTCAGATATTACAAATACATTTTACTAATGCAGATAGGCTGAACAAGAAGATTTTTAGTGTTATAGAATGGGAGCACGTAGTTTATAACATTTTATAAATTTTCTAAAATCAGATGCAATGCATTTCATTCAAACCCCTTTAAAATACTATATTTCCGCGATAAGATTTGTTATTAATTTAACAATGTAAGTTAACCGGTTCGTTCAAGAAAATATCAGCTAGTGATACTAAACCTAAAATTAGGAATTTTATGTAAGATACGACACTAGTGATGAGAATTAATTAAAGCAGCATGCATCTTCTGTTCTATATCGTATTTACTGTCATGAAAAAGGATATAGCATTACTTAGTTTACTATTTTATAACGACATATTTAACAAATTTGGTCTTGGTATAAAAAGATCGGTTAGTATGGCTAAATTGGATATGAAGTTTACTTTCTTACAGATGTTTCACTGATGATAAACCAGCGAAGGCACCACGGTGGATAGTTTTTAGTTTATTTCCCGCAATATCCCTATTTATAGAAAATTATAGAATAGCTATATCTTAACATCTAGCTTCACTTTGATTTCTTACTAAAGTTCATTGTACTTCATTTTAATTACATAACGTAAATTAAAGAATATACTAATAACCTTTTGTTGTGAAATATTGATTTAATTAATGTAACAAAGTGCTATCAATATAAGGGTACTATAAAATTAAAAGTAATTTTAGTGAGATTGAGTCTTACAGCATGCGAAGTTTGGTCAAATTACTGAAAGAATTCGGTTCAATATCTTCGATCCTATTAAATTCTAGATAGCTGAAAGAATTATTAGAGGATATGTAAATAGTTTTTGCCGGGTTTATGCAATGCCTAGTAAACTGAGCTCACTCAGCTATTTGAGATGAAATATCTGTAATTATAATACAGTTTATTTTATGCTGATTTAATGCAAAAACATTTAAATATATTTTATACTGTCTTATTTTATACTCACATGTCTTCCAGTGATGATAAACAAGCTAAGCTATCATTTTTAACAATTTTCAAGCGATTACCCTTCAAATTTCTGTATTGCATATACGGCAGAAAGGGTAACTGTTATGCATATATATATATACAATGATTTTATAATGAAAACAAAATATTTTAATTCTTAGATAGCTATTTTATAGCAAATTCATAATATCGACATCATGAGAACGCTATAAATAAAATTCAATAACAATGCTTCATTCATTGTGTAGGCTAGCCTACTTTATAATTATATTATAAGATATAATGATACGAACAGACGATTGAGTGACTGCAAACCGCATAAGGAATTGGTTTCAATTGTGGAAATGGCATTATGCTTAAGTCGCCTGAAAGATTAATGAAAATTTAAAAATGCTATATAGGTCATTGAAGTCACTTCAGACTACAATTATTTTATAGTTTAAAATGGCGTACTTGTTACAGCAACGTTAGTAAATTTAATTTATCTGATTTGTAGTCTTTCAATTAGAATCGCTTTAAAAAAATCAAAATCACCACTATAACACTACTGTGTTTACTTAATCGGATTTTATTGCTACTAAACGATAGAAATCATGATTGAAAATGAGACAATAAGCTGGTATTTTAAGATATTAATTCCGGACTTACAAAGTCTTTAAATTCAATAAACATCCAAAATCGCCTTGAGACATGGCTTTAAGGCGATTATTATCTAAAATTCTAATTATAGTTACTAATACCTCAAAAAGTGAGATTAAAACAATACTATGCTAGTGCTATTAATTTAATCAATAACTAATGATTGTGATATTGTTTTGATATTGTACTTACAAATACTGCAAATTTTCTAAAGTGCAAAATGCTTTCGATTCAATATGTACCAATGCATTTGATCGAAGCATCCTACAGAAATTAAATAAACAGACATTCACTATTACGTTGCAAGTTAGAGTTGATATTTATCTGCTAAGATTGGGCTGATAGCGGTAAAATTGGTACTTTTTGAACTTCTGACAGTAGTATAATCTTCACTTTTTGACTGTTGTGAATCAGTAAAAATGTTTAGAATTTCGCTATTGTGAAAATTGAATTCTTTAAGTAAAAACTCTAAGAAAGTAGAAATGGAATTTTGATGTAAATAATAAGTCAATTTTAAATTTGACTTCTCATGAGCACGGGACAGCAATGCTTCATTTAGATTAATTTTCCTAAAATTTTACCAAGACTTAAATAGCGTGAATTTCTCTTAATTGGCACTGTAATTTTATGAGAATCATAAGTTGGTATTGTTTAAATGTAATAGCTAGAAGGCTAAAAGCCATTGAAATAAAGCCTATATTATTCAAAAAGTTTAATTTATCGTCGAGAACACTATAGTAATACACAGGCTATAAATGTACAGGCCTTTAAGAGTGTATATTGTTAGGATTTGTGCATGTAAAGCACTAGAGTTAGCAATAAACTCTAATTTATCGATCGTTAAAAGTGCAACTTACATTTCTTTTAGATTAGCTAGACAATTAAATGATCCTTTTGTAATAACTTGCAATCGATTAGCTTCTAAAGACCTTTTAAGAGACATATATTGATATATAATTAGTCAAGCTTTATGACTCTTTTGCTATAGAAATATTGTGTACTCCAAAAGCTCACAAATTGGTTAGATGGGGTAATCCACAAAATGCATCAATTTCAATTGTCTCTATAAGGCTGCTCGTAACATTCCTATAAAAAATATAACCATATCATATCGTAAATTATCACATCAGCATAATATTTAAGAATTAATTAACCTTGTGTTAAAGCCCTTTTGACTCTACCGCAGTGCATACTTATTTACATATAAATAACACATCTAGCGGCATTTCCATTCTGACTTGCAATCCGGTAGTAACGGAAACTCTGTTATTATCTTTACAATCACGCACTATACACGATATTTAGATTTCATTACATGATGATGTTACTATACCGGTAGTATTGTAAAGTATAAATCTTATAATTTTGGACATTAAAATGTACATAAATAAAAATTGGTCTTAAAATACGACATTTATCTTCTTAGAAGATTCTTGTGTATTTGCTGATATACCTATAGCTTACTGATACTAAATTTAGTAAAACTATTATTAGAGTATTTTGAATTATGATTATGATTACTTTTTTAATATTATAGGTGCTGAAGGTTGTTTTAGATAAAGAGTATTAGAAAAAATGGGATAACGTAAGAAAATCTGTTTACGTATTTACTGGTGTGATATGCACTAAATTAAGAGATAGAAATAGCAGTAATAACATGATTACGAATAAACATTTTGTATATAACCCGAGTTTCTCTTAAAATAAAGACAACTGTTGTTAACGACTTCAGTTAAATACTTGACATTGTGCCTTAAGTTAACTCGTGTTTTTCTTGTTCTAACGACTGAGTTATGGTAGATAATATCTTTAAACTGCTACTTTTAGCCTCGTACGAACGTTTAAGCGACTATTAAATAAATAAATTGCCTGATGTTGGTAATCGAAGTTCGTAACATGGAGAAAAGATTGACAGAACGAAATAAGGTAATTCAGCTCCTTAAAACATTTACGATTAATGACTTTGTAGAAATATAAGCTGTAAGTGCTTTACTGTAATATCAGCAGCAAACGAAGAAACGAAAAATGCACTCAATAGAACCACAATATGCAATTCCATACAGTAATCGTAATAATTTAGCTAAATAGAGCTATAGCAATAAACGCAGTTTCTTATCTATCCATAATAACGGAGAAACTACTAACTGTTTGCTAATGAGATACGTCTGTAATTTTCTGAGCGTAATAAACTGACGGTTGTCTTTCCGAAATCAGAGATTCGAGACTGCCGTAACGTAGCAATGGAAATTAGGTACATGTACTTAACGTGAGAATCGTTATAAAAATAATACATTGCTAAAGTATATTATATATTGTACTGTTATGGAATCCCTTTACAATATACCATAGTAAGAAAGTGTAATGTAACTTAGTATCGTGATTGTAGACTGTTAACTATGTTTAGTATAATGTACGGTAGCGTAACTTCTACTTTTATCCTAAGAGATATTTGGTAGCTATAGCTATAGACTGTAGTGGTATAGACTCTATGCTAGAGTACAGATCACTATATACAGTAAGGTGTTGAGCTACTAATAAGGTCATAAGTAAAAATAGAACTGTAAATCATGTATGTATTAGGATATGGTTAATTCATTGTACTTTGGCTGGTGTGAATAATGCCTATATAAATACTGTAGTCGTATCCATATCGGATTAATGATGGTCCGCAGTAGAATAGTGTTACTAAGATTAATTTAACTATGTGTAAATTAAGGTAAAAGATTGCCATGCGGATTGTAACTGCGAATGCTACGAAAAGTATAAAAGCATGCAACTATAGATTATTCTGTTAGTTCGTTGTAGAAGTCTTTAGTAGTAGTATTCGGCTATAGTAGAGCTGTGGGTAGTTAATCTTGTATATGATTCAATAAAGCCCTTACTTTTGTAAAATTTGGAATTTCGTGACTGATATATATCACACAAAGATTAATTAATTACAGAATGATCCCTTGTGATTGCAATTCTAATTGATGGTAGATTGTTAACTATTCTACATATGATTCCGTGGATGGACACAAGGTAGCTACTTAGACTATCCAGATTTGAACTTTGTTTATCTGATACACACAGTTTACTTTTTGGGGCTATCTAAAAGTAACTGCTGTCCAGTCAAGTTAAAAGTCACCTATTTTTACGTAAAGTTAATTGTTTGAAAGAGAAGATAAATCATCAATAGTATCACTTATGAATGGTGACGGATAGTATAGGGGCACGATAGATTTCTAGGGAAAATTATTGTGTTACTTCTTAACTTAAAAAAGCAATGGCCTTTAAGTTTCTGTAACGAGTTCAGAGATATTACTTCCAAAAAATCTCGGAAACAAAACGGTTTACTTTGTGTCACTAATGCTACAAATTGATTTTTAATACGCTATAAGGTAGGTAAATAATTGCTAAAGAAATCAAATCTTCGCTAAACCTTAAGCGAACACGATAAGAATATAAAACTCTATACTTACAAGACGATCAACTCCGAAAAGTCTACAAAGCTTCTCGTTTTAATTTTTCTAATACTGGTGTTGTTAATTATCCTATGGAATAGAATCAAAATTAGCAGTAAGTACTCTAGATTACAGTAGTGGCTGTTGTGATTTAATAGTAGACTATGCGTATCTGGTGTAGAATTTGAAAATTGTTAGTAAGATTTAAAATAAAATGTATCTAAAATCTTTTAGTTGGGTATCAGCAATTTACTGTATTTAAATGCTGTTAAGTACTAATAGTTAGAGTACCTAGAATTCACATAATTTAGGGCCCAAACGTATAAATTGCATGACAAAATTCAATATGAAACATGAAGATATAACGTATAAGATACAGTCTAATTGAACGTAACCCGAAATAAGTGTGGATCACAGCGGTTAGTGATATGTAATTATACATTCTACTACAACTCTCGGTGATATCCTAAACATATGCTAATATTATACGGAATATAGTATAGCTTCAAATATTATATAATTGTTCTGTACTAAGATAGATAAGGTGTTATAGTGTTGAGCGTTCTATACATTAGCATCGTGCAATTACAATATGTATCAGTAGCTGCCGATATAGTAACAGATAGCTTTAATTCCTTTTACTATTTATACTTGTTACAGCCGGATAATAATTCGATTCATATAAAAAATAGATAGCAAAGTGATCTTAAACTTTAGAAAGTAAGAGCCAGAAGAGTTTTCGATATGCGAGTAATACTTACAGTGATTTCAAATTTCCAACGAAAGTAAGCTTAATGCTGGGCAATTTAGTTAAGTCACTACGTGAGCAACTTATAGACCAACTGCTGCAGTTACAGAAACTTGGGCAACCATCACTGGTTTCTGTTAGAAATGGCAACATAATATCAGTTGAGAATATAAGTAGAAAATGTAAGCAGATTGCTGATATTTTATGAATAGTAATATACTTGTAATTCCATGATCACATCTTGCTAATAACCAAATAATTGACATCAAATGGATATACAGGATCGGATACTTTAAATTCTGCTTGCTTTTCATTTCTGATAAGTAGCACCGGTATATCAAGAATTAATTTCTGTAATATAGTTTAAAGATATAAGATAGCAAGTATGATTATCTTATAAATTTCAAAATTATTACCGATAAAACTTTATCGTTATACTGTAGAAGCAAATTAAGTAAAATTTTTTTGTAATTCTTAAAATTAGTAACCAGTCTCTTGTTTTCTTGACAGAGTAACGTCTG